AAAGAGTATATATACTCATATAGTTATATTTAAGATAAATGAAATTTGATATTCTATATATAATTAGTGGTGACTAACTAAAAATGTATTTCCCTAAAAACTTAAGGAACTCCTAGATATTTAGTTTAGGAGACATAAAAATATAATAATTGATAGTAATATTTAAATTAAAATTAATTATTATTTTATGAAGTTATCAAAATCTTGGCAACATCATTAAAATGTTACAAAAAATTATTAAAATGTTACAAAAATACTACTTTGGTAACATTTAAAAAATGTTACATAATTATGCAAAAATGTTATTAAAAGTCTTTAGCAACATGGATTATATACAACATTTGATAATATGTTACTAAAATAAATTAGCAACATTTACACATAATTAAGTAACATTTTTCAAATGTTACTAAATACCATTTGTGTTATAGTGTAGATACACAAACAGACAGGATTCTTATTCAAATGTTTGTATAAAAACTGTAAAATTTATATTCTAACAATTATAAATTATCATATTAATTAAATTATTAACTTATTTATACTTACAATTTGTGAAATTAAGGTGAAGAAAAAATGATATTACGGTTTAAGAAAATTTAACACAATTATAAATTGAGACGTGTCTCCTTTAATTTGTTGTGTTATTTATATCTATTATAATGGAAATATTAGAATCTATAATTTTTTTCTCTTCATTTTTAAGTGAATTATTATACTCATTGGATATTAAAAATATATAATTTTCGTATTTTTTTTTTAATAATCACTAACAATTATTTAATATTTTGTCTTTGCGTAATTGTTAAAAGTTATGTCTACTACTTATAACCTATACCTAGAAGCAAACGCTCAATTTGCAAATTATCTTCACAGATAAACGCATAGTAACTTCAACTCACTCTTCTAAATACTAACCTAATTGTTACTCCCTTCTTTTCGTATTGTTTGAAGTTTAAAGTTTCGAAACATTAAAAAAAATACAATTAATATATTAAATTTTATAAAATAAATTACATAATTTTCAATATACTCTTAATGTTTAAATGTAGGGTTAATCACATATATACTGTTAGTATAAAAAAATATTACACTGATAACTAATTATATCTTTTAATTGTGTCATGTCCCTATAAACATATTTACTTTTAACAATGACATGACACAATTAAAAGATATAATTAGTTGTCAGTGTTTATACTGGCAGTGTATAGGTGATTAACTCTTAAATGTATATTAACAAAACTTAATATTCTAAAAGAAACTCAAATCGACAGAAAGCTAAATTGTTAAAAGTCAAACAAAATGTAATAATAGAAGGAGTGTGTTTTTGTGTCATTCGCCCACTTGAATAATTAAAGGAACATTAAATTGAGAATTTAATTAGAAAGAAACAACCGACAGTGATGTAGAAGCTCGACCACCGCATTGACAATTTATTAGTTGCCAAACGTACGTCTCAAGATAGAGTCTAGATTCAAACTCCTAATTAAATTTTTGTAACCCCTTCATCAAATTAGCTTCCATTGTTTGAAGTTTTAGAATTAATTGCACAATCCATGGAGTTCTTCATTTTTTTTTCCCCTTAAATATGATTTTTTAGACGCCATTTTTAAATATTTTTTAAGTTCATGCACCTATTCCTCTTATTTTAATTTTTATAACTTTTTTTTTTGTCATTTTCAAATCATTGACATTTTCTTAATGTACTTTTTTAATCTTTATCATTAATTTTAGTTAGTTTAGTATGAAAATGAGTAGAAAAATATAAAATATTGATTAAAATAGTTAAACTAATATATAACATTTTAAAGATAATTAAATTATTTTTATATGCATAATTTAATTGGCAGACACCGCCATAAAACGCCAAATAATGGATGGTGAATGGCAGTTTGCTTGGAGACCGTTCCGATATTCCATTATAGCGGATTATAACGATTATTTAATAAAATGCGGTGTTTGCCTTGAAGTCATGGAGGCACTATCTGTATGATACGAGATTCAGGGTATTTAGTAATCAGAAGGAGTTGAATATGAGGCAGAGAAGGTGGATGGAATTCCTAAAGGACTTTAATTTTAAGTTGATGTATCATCCTGGGAAGGCGAGTGTGGTAGCGGATGTATTGAGTAGGAAATCCATTCATGTGTCAGCTATGTTGATTAAGGAGTTGGAGTTGATTGAGTAGTTTAAAGATTTGAGACTAGAAGTGGAGGTTGTCCAAGATCACATTAGTTGCGGTATGATCACCATAACTAATGAGTTCTTGAGACAGGTGGGAACTAAGCAATTACAAGATCTAGAATTGTAGAGGATTTTGGGATTGCTTGGTATTAAGAGGGCAGCTGTTTTTGAGCTTAGTGCTTTGAGCTTAGTGCTGATGGAGATTCTC